CAACCCAAAAAAAATCAGTGTAGTTAATGATCTTAATTAGGCCTTAACGGTCACTTTCATAACGCACTCAACAGACAGTGAGCAGCTTGCATTACACCTCAATACAAGTCGGTCTAAATGATTGAATGAAGCTATTACACTGAAATGTTTCTCTCATACTTAATGAATTGAATTACGCTCAACACCGGAGGTTGCTGCCTGGTATAATACTACCGTAGAAATAGCCTTAACTTTTGTGGAATACAAGAAACTAGGAGGCAGACGAACTATTTCACAAGCTCTTTTGAGGAGACTTATAACTGAGTTACTCGGAGCCGACATGTAAGGGAGGGTTGTCAGTAAATCAGACGAGAACAATCTGCTTCTGATCACTAAAGAGGCAGCGTCAGGCTATTTTTATCCTGTTTGTCCGCCTATCAAATATAATCTGTGGGCCTTTTGTTTTTCTCTCTAAGCTCCTTCTCTACTCTATTATTGTTTTTTTTTTCAATTAGCGAAATGTGACTTTAAACCCACAGCTCGACCTTTTCCGTTAGCATGACGACATCATGTCTGACATTCAACAGGCCTCCTCTCGCTGCCTCCAAACCCGAGCGAAGCAGCCGAGAGCTGAAAGTTATCAGGGAATGTTGGACATTCTTTGGGAAGAGGTAGAAACTTGTTCTCTTCCAACACAATCACATTCCTCCACGCTGTTCAGGAGAACTGGGGCAGCAGGAGAAAAGATGTACGTCTCCCATTTTTAAGCTCACTTCTTGTCCTGGAGGTTTCGTCCTCCCAGAGTTCCCAGAGTCAGCCGTCCCTATCTTTGGGTCGTGGTTTTCACGGTCCAAACTCTGCTCATTCCTTCTCTTTAGAGTCACTGGAAACCGAACACCATGAAAATGTTCTAAATGTATGAGTGAGGGTTTATGTACAAAACAGTAAGCATCCAAAAGTATAAGAAGTAACTTTTGTCCAGCTTTAACCAAAACACGGTGGATTACGTTTCAGTAAACTTCGCCGATGTTTGGATGGACTTTGGAGGGCTTATCGTGTTTATGATTAAATGTGAAGCGGAGTTAAAAAACTGAAAAACGGTACTGATGCCTATTGGACTACAACCGTTCCTGTGAGGAACTCTCAGTTTGTGTTAATTTTGGCGCCCCCTGTGGATGAAGCAGCTCCTCTTATCTCTTAAGTCTCAACATCATGGGGGGTCGAGTGTCAGAGCGAGAGCTCAGCCCTGACTGTTGCTAACAGGTGTTTAGCATCACACACACACACACACACACACACACACACACACACACACACACACACACACACACACACACACACACACACACACACACACACACACACACACACACACACACACACACACACACACACAGTTTAGCCCTGTAATAATAAAGCTCTAGCTACATTAAAAAGCCTTCACTTAGCATTGCATTTCTGCAGAACAAAGTTAGTAGCACTTAGCTAGTAGGCTATGTGTTTGCTGCTAGCTTTGGTCGCGATAGCAATTACAATCTTGGAACCCATCAAATATTTTTCAAATGTTTTAATAACATGTCAGATTATATCATGAGATCAGCACTTCATCCGTCCCAGCACGGAAACACACACTGTAAACACTTAATTAATTAAGGCGAAGGCATCGTGTACCGCTCTCTGCTCTCGACGCCGGCTGCGTTCTTCATCTCCTGCTGAAATGCAAAGGAAAAACAGGAAGCTTTAAGAACTGGTGAATAGAGATGAAGGATTTTGGTACTTAGCTATCAGTGAGCAACTAAAGTGAATATTTTGAGGACTTCAGGGCTTTTAGTGCGTCTTTTCTTCCTGACTTAAAGGCCTAATATTTACTGCTGCACTGCTCTGAATGTCACGTGTGGGCGGAGCCAGTAAGATGTCAATCAAAATCTGATCAGCCACGCCAACACAGTCTTGAAAATGGTGTAAACAGAAAAATGATGTTTCTTCCACTCCTTTTGATTATTTATTCTCAGTTAGATTTTCTTTGATGCTTAATGAGACTCAACTTTGAATTCATTTTTACTATTTCCAGTTATTCATCCAGAGGCTTAAAACGAGTCTCCCTGCTCTGCTGCTCGAACAGACAGAGTAACAAATGAACAAGCTGCGATGTAGATTGTATTAGCTGAAATTGAGCGACTGAGTGTAAACAACATCCAGGCGACAGGAAGACGGAAATGTGAGAACGAGGGGAAAAATAATGCCCGCTCGTCTCGTTCCTCTGGGGATTGGCCTCGCTCAGCACACAAACAGCAGCAGGAAGCAACGCAGGATTCTGTTCAATGAAACAACGTGTGTGTAAGAAAGACAAAGAAGTAAGTGTTCCACATGCAGAGTGTGCGTGTGTGTGTGTGTGTGTGTGTGTGTGAGGGAGGACAGAAAGACGGCTGGCTTTATTCACCAATGACTTCTCTACAGAAATAGCCTGCAGCACAACAACAGGCCAACACGTTGCACTGACACCTTAAGAGTTGTGTGACATACTGAGCAGGATGTTCTGTGTGTGTGTGTGTGTGTGTGTGTGTGTGGTGTGGGGGGGGGGGGGGTAAGGGTGATGTAAGGGTAATGGTGAGACAATATACTGTGGAAAAAAAAGTGATGGAATAGAGAAATCTGAGGAGGAAGGCAGAGTTTGAGAGAGCTCGATCTTTAACGTGAACTCGTTTTTTTTAAAAAAATATTTTTTGGAGGGCTTTTAGTGGAAAGAAGAACGGTAGATAGTGTCGGAAATCAGGGAGAGAGAAAGAGAGAGAGAGAGACTTCTGACTTCAGCTTTAGCAATGTTAACGTATGTTTTCCATGGTAATAAAGCCCTTTGAATTGAACTGAATTGAGAGAGAGAGAGAGAGCGGAATGACCTGCAGGGAAGAAGCCACAAGTCGGATTTAACCTGGGACGCTCGCTTCGAGGACTACAGCCTCTGTACATGGTGTGCACTATCAAACCGCCAGTCCCAAGCGCACAAGTTTCCCTCAGACTTTAAACATGCTCTTTCAAATGTCGTTGTAAGTTTCCGCCCTGAGTATAACTTGAATTTGTCTTGATCTGAAGACTCATTTGGTGATTGAGATATATAAATAATTCCATTTCGAGTGTCTGAACAAGCTGCTCTCTTTTGATTGTTCTGCAGTCATTTTGTTTTTCTCTGTTCATTCTGAATTTACTCACATCATAAAACGTACAAGACATGGATCAAGAAAACTGTGATTGTTTAAAGACGTTCAATCAAAGTGACAACAAGATCACCACCCTGATCATAGACAACATACTAAAGGAACAACGTGGTGGAAACAACCTGCCCGCGGATATCAGGGCAACAACTCTGTGTCTTTAATGAAATAACAAGCAGCAACAACAGGTGTTAAAATGGGAAGCAGATGTGGAAGAGGAACACATATGCAGTTCCTCAAGTGTCCACTAGAGGCTGGCTGCAAAAGCTTCAGAGTCCCCTAGACATTTTTTTTCACAGCTGAAAAATACTTGTTTACATCCTGGTATAAAAAATGCATGTTGGATCTCAGATGTCATTGGGCGAGAGGCAGACTACACACCGGACTAGTCCACATCAACCACAGCACTGATGTGTAGAGACAGACAAACACTAACATCTAGAGTCACCAATTAAGCTAACGAGCACATCTTTAGCCCGGTGGTTCTCAACTGGTGAGGAGCTGTTTCAGAACGGCTTGAAAATTTGCCTGGAAAAAAAAGTCAAATTTGCATCACGGTTTTCATGATGGAGTTAATGAGTGGGTCCTGAGGCTAGACCAGCTGAGAACCATTGCTTTAGACCGTGGTAGGAAGCCAGAGTACCCGAAGGGGACCCATGCATGCACAGGGTTGCAAACGCCTTACAAACACCTTTTCGATTCGGTCGGTTCTAGGGCTGGTTCGGAGTCTTGAACCAGTTCTTTGTGTTTCGACTTCCAAAGAATCGGGAGTAGCACCAACTCCTCGCTGGAAAGAAACGCTTACATCAGGAGCTGGGATTGCCAGATTGTCGTGACCACCAGGTCTTCCTCGAAAGTAAGCAACATCCACAGCAATTCTGAAGAGCAGAAAAAATTCTTTGGCCACGTTGTGTTTGAATGCCTGGAAGTAGGTTTGCAAAGCCCGGAGCGATACCTGACAGGAGGCACTGTAGTCCTCCATTGTTGTTGTTGTGCTTGAAGACGGCACCAGTGGGAAGTCACGGACGTATGAAGTGACGACATGACGTGGCTCTTTTGTGGCCCTTACCTGTGAAAAAGCAAAGTGCTTCTTAGACCAAGTTGAACCCAAATTCGCACACCCGCCCAGACCTAGATCCAGGTTCACTTTGAAAGGGTAACAGAAACCAATCAGGCATTTGAACCAGGCACCTTTGTTATGAGGTACCTGGTACCATACCCTTATGACACCACAGCACGGCCCAGGTTTAACTTTATGAACTAACTAATTCACCTATACCAAAAACACGATCCTAACCTAACCAAACAATATGCAACTGTTCCACAACGCTGACTCCTTGTTTGTGTCTTTACTTCAGCGCCCGGTCATACATGACGCTTTAATTAAAAGTCTTTATTTGCAGTAACTGATGATGTGCAATAATAATTCGTTAGGTGTGAGACAAGGTAACATTTGATGAACACATTTAAAAAACAAAACAGCAGCTTTCAACACAAACACGAGAGCTAAAGTTTTTTTTCTGAATGTTTTAAAACCTAAGAGGATGAAGAAGAAACCATCACTCCCAGTCACTGAGTGTTTGATGTGAAGCGAGGGGGAATATTTCTGCCTGTAGAATGTGAAATGGAGGAGAAAAAGGAGACCCATTTTCAGCTCGATGATCAGAGACAGAAAGGAGGAAGAGAGGAAGCTGAACGCGGGGGGAAGCAGATACAGAGAGAGAGAGAGAGAGAGAGAGAGAGAGAGAGAGAGCGAAAGAGAGCTTTAACCATGCGCACATGAGAATTAGAGAGACAGAGAGAGGGAGGGAGGGCAGCAGAGGGAGAAAAAAGGCTTAATTAATTCAGGCTGGATGGGAGGGATGTTGCTGCCGTCCCTGCTGAGCCTCCAGTGCCTCTGCTGTCGTGCTGCAGGAAGCCTCGTTGTGTGTGTAAGTGTGTGAGCTCAGAGAGACGACACCACTCCTGCTTTCTGCTTTCTGTTTACCGGGAACCAGACACCGGTCAGCCCGGGATCGGAGCCCCCTCTATCTCCCTCTCTCTGCCTGATCGGGTCTTCACTCTGAAACAGGGATGTTACATGGAGACCAGCAGTGAGCAGAGGTAGGACACACTTTACTCCTCCTGTCTCTTCTTCCATTTCTGTCTCTGCTTCCATGTTGCACATCATGCTTGTTGTCATCTCTGTCATCTCATCTGTCTCTCTAATTATCAGCAGAATTCCCTCTCCTTTTCTGGAGGACTAAATGTGCAACCTTACCTCAGTCAAACTTTTTTTATTTTTGCTGTTTTTGTAACTGAAACTGAGATGCTGATAAGGCTTTGTGGTTTGTTTTTCCAGCTATAAATGTCAACCAAAGTTGTCGTGCTCGTGCAGAAGGTTATAACAACACTAAAAGCGAGTGTGAGGGTGGAGGTAGAGTCAAAACAACACGTCTCAGAGTCACTCTACCTCCGGGCAGTCAGCTGGGAACAACACAGTGGAACACATCATGAGATCTGTTGTTGGATCACTTGGACAGCTCCATGGAGAAGATTTAGCCGACTGTTTCCTGAGAATATAAATAAAGCATGCATTGTTTGGTGCACAGGCTAATGTGTAGACTGAAAATGAGCTTCAGCAGTGAGATGACCTTTGTTTGGGAATTGAAAGCAGAAGGGCAAAACTCTTTGCAGAAACAATTCTCATAATCAGGCGCCGTCAACAAATCTCCACACATAGAGTCAATAAGGATGAGAAATTGAGCTGAATTTGTCAATTTTTTAAAATCCTGTCGTCCTAGAAAATATGTTGAAATATGAATGTTTAAGATCTTATTCTAAAGATTTTTCCTCCATGTTTTGGTCTCTAATTAAACAGATGTTTGAGTGTATGTTGCACCCTGTAGTGTCACAACCTTTTAATCCCAGCCTCCTTCAGCACGATGCTTTTAGCCGACGTCTTGTGATTAATCTTCATTCGGCACGCCTAATTACTTCTCATCAAGCAATCACCAAACGTGATGCTTATTTATGCCCCGACAGCATCCACTTGGGTCTTTGATAAACATGTGAGATTCTCCGTCCTGAGCCTTGTCTGCAGCGAGAGGCTCGGCAGAGCTGCGAGAATCAAGGAGAGAAGCATCAAAGGAGAGAGAGTAAAGACAGAGGAGGATGGATGTGTGAGATATTCAGCTCACACGCTCATTGCCAGGAAGGATATAAGCAGCAAATGGAGTTTCTCATGTCGGACTCATGTCTCAGCGAGAGGCCGGCTTGAGGGTCATTGGAGGTCTGCTGTGAAAATGGTGCTGAAATCCTCCTGATGGTGATCCGCGAGCCGTCAGACAGTAATTCATCACTCGGATTAAGAGGTGAACAATCGCCTGTCTGACCATGGATCTGTGTGATTAGGACGAGAGCGTACTCAGACCCACTCAGACTGATTCCTCTCATTTCTGATCTGACCCGGATAGAAGTCAGCCCTGATTACGAGGCTCCACTTCCTCTTCTTCAACAATCTTTTAACCGCATTGCTACCTTTAACACAAAATCCCTGCAGAGCACTGGATGACAGAGACATTTTAAACATGAATTTTTAACAACAAACCCTGAACTGAGTGTTACGAGTCATTGTTGAGGTTGAATCTGTAGCCTTTTTAATTTCTGCAGCTCCCTCTCGCAGGTGAGTGTGACTGTTAGCTCATGAAGCCCACTGATAGGCTGAGGAAGCTGACATCAACAGCAGTAATGTGGTAACTAAAATATATCATACATCAGGTCTATCCTGTGTAAATGTCTCTCTGAGTCATGACTGTCTATCATGAGTGAGAAGCTCGAGTCCCGCTGGATGTGTTGTTGTCAGAGCCGTGTTTACATGAACGGGACGGCCGGCTCCTCCCTTGTGTATAAAAGCTGCTTTAGTCAAGGACTAGAGAGAAGAAGAAGAGGAACATACTCACTGATTATTTGGATGATAGTAAGAGTTTTTAGATCACGCTCATTCTGTGTTGATTTACATGAAATGTGAAGCTACTAGCTAGGCTAAATAAAGAGCGCTAACATTAGCATGCTAACACAACTATGCAGGACACAGGTGATTGCAGCACAAGTTTGCGCTGTGCTTAATGGTGTTAAATTTCTATGTGTTCTATTTGATAACTTCTTGAACGCGAGTCGAGGGGGGTTGGAGGTGTGTCTCTGGAGGAGAGCGGAGGCTTCAGTATGGAGGAGGCGTGGCCAAACAGCAGTTTGTTTTTATCTCACGCTGGAGCTCAAGGGCGCCATCTACTGGATTAAAAAGTCACACATTATTCCTATAAAAGAGAAAGTTCATGATCAGCTTTGTGATACGTGATATGTCTAACTGTACCTTCAGGCTCGGGTATTAATCAGCCCATCCCTGCAGCCAGCCTCTTCTTTTTAGGTTCAGGTTTTTCTATCGTCTGATTTGAGGTGTTTGCGGTCTGCGCTTTGTTCAGATTGACTTTACACCTGCGTAAGATGTGAACACTGTGTGAGCCAGACTGTCTACTCATGTGATCATACTGCATTACCTGGGATCAGCATGTGTGTTAGGACTGCTGTGAAGACGTAACAAGACACTTCCCGCTCAGTAAAATAGTCTCATTCTATGACAGGAAGCAGCAGCTAACAGAAAACTCTGCTAGTTTAACTGACTTGACGAGAAACAACAGGGACTGTTGTAACTCTCCAGCTTGGTCTGAACGACTCCCAGCACTGTTTTTAAGTAACGGGCTCAATTTGGGGCCAGTGTTGTTTCTGAATAAAGTGCACTGAAGCCTGCAGACCGGCCTCACCTCTCTAATGGAATATATTGTGCAGACGCTGCAGAGCTCTTGTTTGTCTCATGGTTACAGGCCTGCTGTGACATTATACGACAGCCTTCCACTGGTGTGGAAACTCAGAACATTTGTGATGGCTTCATTGGTTTGACTTTTTACGAGGTGCAGCGCGAGGTTTCCACTGAAGAGAGGCTGATTTTCACAATAAGTTAAGAGATTTATTGATGTTGATAAAAATCGTCCCTTCAGCAGCTTTAAGTTGGTCGTCTCTATCACGGGTGACACATCCTGTACGAGGCAGTTACATGCTCGTCTTTGCTGATGGACAGGTGCAAAGATTCAGATGTGAAGCAGCAACAGAAAGTGTGAAGCTCAAACTCCGCCCACTTTAACACCTCCTCAAAACCTACTCGGTGCAGGTGGTGATTTACTGCTCATCTATTTTGCAAATTTAAAGAAAGACAGAAAGATCAGCAAACAGCGATATAGATAATGGATGGATGGACCCTTCTCTCATGAGCTTTCAGGTTTATGATAATAAGAATAACTTGTGTATAAAAACTTAACTGAAGTGTTTGTTTTAAAACATTTAAGAAGGAGATCTTTAAAAAGCCATCATTTCAGATTAAAAGTATTTGGAAGGGAACCGTTCATGTTGCACAAATATTCACTTTTCATGAACTCTGAACTGTCTCCTCCCAGAGACTAGAAGGTAAATCAGGTTTGTGTGATTGGCTGATTCAGTACAATCAGCTGCTGGCTGTAGTTTGGCCTTTCTGTTCCCCCTCTGCATTTTACACACAATCCCCCGGTTGCCATGACGCCCAGGCCTTCCATAAATACTTGTGGTATTTGTGAGGCTACATCCCCAGTAGGTTGGAGAATAGAAAGCCACTGCCCAATGAGAGGCGAGCTTGCAGCAGAGTTAATCGCAGATCGATCCGGAGCGATCTCACACAATGTCAGTGACACGGACATTTACGAGAGATCAGTCTGCTCGCTGTGCTGCCGCGGTTAAAGAGAGCATGTGACATGTTTAACACCAAAACAACCAGCATTATATTCACACTGGGTTTCGAGGGGCGAAATTATCAAACTTGGTTTAAGCTCAGAGGTAAAGCTATGTCGAGGCGTTGCAATAGCTTAAAAGAAATACAAAGATAATCAATGTTGACGAACATCTTAGAATGAAGGAGATTGGAGAGAGAGAGCCAAGCGTCAACCTCCGGGTGACGGCACTCAGGCTTCAAACATTCATAGTTACAGTCCGTGGGAATGACACGCTGGAAAGGAACTGCAGGTTGGACTTGAACATGGGGCTGCCTGCTTGGAGGATTGTAGTCTCTGTACATGGGGTGTGACCTAACCGCTAGGCCATCTGCTGGTTGTTGTAGTGTAAATATCTTTATTTTGAAGGCTTGTAACCGTGATGTTGTGCACCTGCTGCACTAAAGTAGAGTTAAAACTTCAGCAGATGACTAACAATGCCCTGGAAGATCTGAGGCTCAGCGGACAACTTAGAGCTGTGAAAACAGAGCTGAATACTGAGATGATTCATTCTCTGCGATGGAAAGAAGATCAGAGGTTTGTGGAAGTAGAAACAGTGAGTTCTGATAAAGAGGGCGAGAGGTGAAGATAGTCTCCTGGACGGGTAACAGGAGTGATGTGTGTGTGTGTGTGTGTGATTTAGTGTTCAGTCCGTGTGTCTCGTCAGGTCTTGACAGCACATCAGCAGCTCTCCTTTTATGGGTAGAGACAAAGCTCAGCTTGCAGCGCCTAAGGTTAACTGTGCCCCTGTGCAGCTCCCTCTGTGAAACAACATTAGCCTCTAAATTTGTCTTGAACTTTTTCTTTGCCCTGTGCTCTTTGCTTTCGCCCTTTGATGCCCCCAAACTGAAAATGTCAAACGGAAAGAAGTCCGTCCTGAAGCACTGAAGAAGTTCTTCACTCCAGCTGAAAGTCTTTCCACACTCTGAGGACTCCTGAGCTTTGGGTCTGAATCATTCTCCCCTAAACTAAACTCTTAATTAGGAGAATCTAGATCCTCTAAATTTGTTGTGGTTGTCACAACTTCTTCTTTATTGGCCCCGGAGAGCGTGAACGCAGCCTCCTGCACCCATTGATTCAATCCACCGCTCGCCTCGCTGTCAGCAAGAAGCTTCTCTCGCTCGACTCAGATCTTTATTAATCCACTGGAAAGAAATTGTTTTACAGCGATAAAGCAAATCAGCAATAAGCCGAGAGAAGAAATGAAAAGTGTGAATGTTAAAAACAATCTACAAGATGATTTGAGGCAGGAAGAGCGAGGAAGTGTCGGTT